TCGCCATCTCGTGTCACCTTCCCTTGTCACCTCCCGCAACTACCCTATACCAACACATCACACATGCCCTAGAACATTTTTAAATTACTCCATAATTCATACGGAGTAATATTTTTTAGTTACATCATCAAATTATAAATTCTAACAATGAAAATATCAATATTTTTTGTTAAAATGTTTTTTATACCAAGCATTAAACGTGATTACGTGAAAGAAAAATAAGTTTTTATTGCAAATCATTTTCTAGTGAAAAATAAATTTGTAAGAAAATATCTATTCCATCCCAAAGACCCCCAAAGCATCAATCTCCAAAAATATATAAAATGGAGTAAATTGTACGAAGGATTTACATTGAGAATTTATTTGGTATACAAAATTCAAATTATGGAAATAGAATTGAGGATAATAGTTTCAAATCTACTGTTTGGTAGCACAAAAATATATGGATTTGAAATCAGTAGTACAAAAAATGAAATGGAATTGGAGAATGTAATTTCATCCAAACCAATTTAATGGAACTTCAAATTTTAATTCAATTCTAAATCTGTCAATACTCAATTCCGTGTATCAAACGGACCCTGAATTAAAACCAAATAGCCCTTAAAAACATAAGGCCCGATTGAAATTGTAGCCCAATATTTAGCCCAATTGAAACGACCGCTGCACTTTCACTTGCATTACGCCCTCGGTCCTTCGCCTTCGCATACGGAAGAGAAGACGAGAGCCGACAGCAACCAAACCCTAGGGTAGATAATTCTCCTCCAAGCTGCTGAGGCCTTACGGATCCCCACTCGCCACAATCTTCTTCTCCGTACACTATTCTTATTTGATTTCTGTTTTAATCCTCCGCAACCGATCCATTTCTTAGTTAATTTCGGCAGGTATTCTTTTAATAGATTTTGTAATTTATATCAATGTTTTGCATGTATGAGTATTGATAGACATCTCTGTGTAGTTTGTAGTTTCAATACAAAAAAAAAATCAAGAAATGACTTCGAGTTTTCCTAGTAATTCAAGTGAATGACCATACCTTAAAATGACCTCTCATTTCAGTTTCTTTCTTTAATTATTTAAGAAAATTAAAAGTTCGGAATAAATAAAGTAGTAGAGGATGAAGTTGCTGCCAACATGTTTGACGGTGTTCATAATTTTTATGGATTTGTTGGTTAATTGTGATGGGTTTATTAATTTTTTTTGTTAATTCATAATTTTCTCAACAGCTATTGTAAGATTTTTTGTGGTATATTAAAATTCGTTTACTTGTTTGAATTTTAAGGTTTACAGAATCTCCTCATTCTATATTGTGAGTTATGTTTATTATAATCTTTATTGGGCTAGTGCACTCTATGTTGCACGGATTCTTCAAGTACATCCCGCTTTCCATCCCCAAAATTGTTCCTGTTTGGGTACTTGGGGAAGTCCTTACACTCAAAGCCTATATAAATTTTGGTATAAATTTTGAAGAATTAGTGTTTCACATTTCGCTATTCCACCACGTTTGAGTACTTGTCCTCGTCTCTGTGAAATTTAGCATGCACTCTTGTTGGGCCTTGGTCCTCACATTTATTAGGTAGGCAAACTTGGACAAAATAGGGTCAACCTGAAGATTGAAGAGTACGAATTTTTTTTAGAACTTATTGATATAAAGCCTGCCCCAAACTCTTCTAGGAATGACTGACGTCCACATATACTCATGCCTAATACCACAAGAATGTGTCATAAGAACCCATTTACTCCCCCTTCCCTAATCCAACCGGCCTTTTTGTAACTCATCAAGGTAATAAACACTAAATAGTATTAACTCAAGTGAAAAAGAACATCTCACCATTGCATACGAGTTTTGAGACAATTGTTAGTAGAGGCTATTTAGACAATGAAAATTTGCTAGAGGTTAGAGATGTAAAAATAAATACATAAAGGGGAGGTGGTAGAGGTGGCTTTAATCGCAACTTCAGTAGTTGGATCTTGGCAGTGGAGTGGAGAACAGTGTTAAAACGGGGCATCCTCTTAATGAATTTTTGCTTGAAGATAGGCTGGGAAAGTCACCAAAACCGTACCTCTAGTTCATTTTGCAGAACATCGCAGATTGTATAATTTTAAAGGGGATTGGATTCACACCACATATTTTCCCTCTGTCGGACATTAAACTTCACATATTTTTTTTCACAGTGTTAAAAAAAGTGAAATAGATCTATGCGGAGGAGAGAAAAATAATGCAAACCATATAATGTTTTTCTTAAGAGGAATGAGATGTTTATTTTGGATAAGCTTAAATGGGAGATGGCTGCAGATTGTATAATTTTAAAGCGGATTGTATTCACACCACATTTTCCCTCTGTCACGCGTTAAACTTTACATACTCCCTCCGTCCACAAATAAACTTCTCATTGCGTTTTACGATGTTTGACTGAAGGTATTTTCAAATCATTTTGCATGAAAAATGGAGTAAAATTTAAAACTGAAAGTTATATCTAAAAAAACTACTACCTCCGTCCCGCTATATTTGTCCACTTTTGACTTTTAGAACTGTTATCTAAGCACTTTGACTCATCAAATTCTCTCAATGTGTAAGCCTAAATATAGTCATGTGTGATCTTGTTTGATTTGTCCTAACATATAGATTATTAATAAATAATTTCTATAATTTTTTAATATACAAATTACAAGATAAAGTGGATTAAAGAAGTGTATTGGATGGTGTGTAAAAATGAAAGTGGACAAATACTCTGGACAGAGGGAGTATATCAAAAGATCTACAAAACTAGAGGTGACATGACTATATTATTTTATCAAATGAGGGACGAAAACAAAGTGAATAAAGTTTCACCCTATGAATAGTGAACGGAAAGTTTTTTTTTGTGCACGGAGAGAGTATGTTTTTTCACGGTGTTAAAAAAAATGAAATAGATCTATGCGGAGAGAAAAATAATGCAAACTATTTAATGTTTTTCTTAAGAGGAATGAGAAGTTTATTTTGGATAAGCTAAAATGGGAGGTGGCAAGTTAATTTTGGGACGGAGATTATTAAATATATAATGCCATACTCTATATTTCTGTTTAAGTAGTGTAATTAATCCTAATAATATACTCTCTCTATCTCACTGTTTTTGAGACGGGGTGGTGGCTTGCAAGTTAAGAAGTGTGGAATTGTGTGGGTGAAATTGATGTGAAAAAGTAAAAATAATGTGAGCTACAGAAATCTTACTAAGAGGGTGTATGCGACTTATTTTGAAAATGATTCTCAGCTTTTGCAGTGTAAACTATCTTAAGGGTCAGTGCGTACTCACTAATATATCAAACCACATTTGTGGAGTGGTTTTGTGTTTTACATAAACCGCACCAATCCACTCCTGCCCAGCTCTACTAGAACTGGACATTGAGCTAGAAGCACTAATTGCTGTTGTTGCTACTGCAGACAGTCCTCTGCTTGATGACAAGCATTCTGAGGCAGTAGATCCAATGGAGGCAGATTTTCCATCTGGGGAAACTAAAAGAGAACTGGAAACAGATGAAAATGTTGTATCAAAGGCTGAAGGTGTTGAAGCTGCTTTAATTCCAATCGTGGAAGCTAATAAAGAATTGGGAATAGACAAAGAATGTGCATTGAGGGCTGAAGTAGATGAAGCTGCTAATAGAGAAATGGAAACAGGTGAAGAGCAGGCAACAGTGGCCAAAGAAGATGAACATGATTCGATACCAACTGCTGAACCCAAGAGAGAAATTGGAACAATAGAGGAGGTAACAGATAGAGAAAGTGCAATAGAGGCCGTATTTGATGAAGCTGCTCATAGAGAAATGGAAACAGATGCCGAGGAGGTAACAGTGGCAAAAGAAAATGAGCCAGATTTAATTCCAACTGCTGAAGCCAATAGAGACATAGAAACAGTAGATGTGGCAACAGTGGATGAAGACAAAGATGATGCTTTAATTTCTATTACAGAGGCTAGTAGAGAAATGGAAACAGATGAAGTGGAGGCTACGAGGGCTGAAGAAGAAGAAGCTGCCTCAATTCCAATGGTGGAAGTTCGTAGGCAATTGGAAACAGATAGGAAGCATACAATGGAGGCTGAAGATGGTGAAAATGCTTCAGTTCCAACCGGGGAAGCCGATGTAGAATTGGAAACAGATGGAGACTATGGTAAGTGTGCTGAAGACAGGGACACTGCTAAGTACATACCAAAGGCTGAAGATGGTGAAGGTTCTTCAGTTCCAACCGAGGAAGGAAATAGAGAACTGGAAACAGATGGAGAAGTTGTTATGGAGGTGAAAGACAGTGAAACTGCTACATACATAACAAAGGCTGAACACAGTGACGATGCTTCAGTTCCAACTGGGGAAGCCAATCAAGAATTGGAAACAGATCGAGATGATGTTATGGAGGTTGAAGACAGGGAAACACCTGTTCAAACTGTGGAAGGCAATAGAGAATTTATCGAAGTTGCAGAGGACATTATGAGGTCAGAAGATGCAGAGGACATTATGAGGTCAGAAGATGGTGAAGCTGCTTCAATGTTAGAGGATTCACAGGAAGATCCTCAATATGGGGAAAATGAGGCGAGTACTGCTGAAGAAATTGCTACCGAAATCGAAACTGAAACTGATGTCGTAGACTCAGCTAAAGGCTTTTCAGGAAAGCATAAAAAAAGGAAGAATTCTAACAGCCCCTCTACTCATAAGGCAACCACAAGAGCTCCTAGGAGGAAAGTGACTGGAGAAGATGTTTGCTTCATTTGTTTTGATGGTGGAGATCTGGTGCTTTGTGACCGCAGGTGAGTTTGGTATAACATACACTCCCTCCATCCTATAAAAGATTCCCTTTTCAAAAAGCTTCTTTTGTTCAAAAAAGGGTATTTGTAATGTCCATGTAGGCAGCAATTCATGTTATTCATTTTCAAGTTTTGAGAAAAGATATGTTATTTTCAAGAAAATGTGATTCTAGAAATGGATTCAAGTATCTCTAATACATGTATAACCTTTATGCTGGGTTATGTAAGAAGTCCTTAAGCATCAAATACTCATTGCTTTCTTGCTAACGGATGCTCCATGTGCAGAGTTTAGGAAATCCATTTAGTTAAACTATCAGAAATATTTTCAGAATGTATCATTTATGAATTATAACAGTTGTATTTTTCAAAAAACAAGCTGTCCCATGGTCTTGATAGCCGGAGCTTAATCTTTCCGGTGCACAATTAATTTATTTGATGATCTTATCCTTTCCATGCATTATTAGGGGCTGCCCAAAAGCTTATCATCCATCTTGTGTTAATCGCGATGAAGCATTTTTTCGAGCAAAAGGCCGTTGGAATTGTGGTTAGTGGGTTGTCCCCTCTCTTACTATCCATATACTGAATATCTTTGTGTGTGTGTGTGTGTGTATACATGCATTTATCAATCTGCTTTATCGTAGTGCATTGGTTACTAATATTTTCATTCTCTAAAAGCTTCATCTTTTATGCATTTATATAATAACATAATGGGGTTGAGCAATTGGATGAATTATTTTGTATACCATGACATACTTGGAATTATTTTAGTGACTGTGCAACTCATGTAACCTATTTGTCGTAATCATGGTTATTAATCTGTTTTATTCTTTGAATTCATTCATTTCATATCTTTAATGAATGAGTAAACATAATATCCGTCCTAATTCTCTATATATATGGATGTATCATTCATTATTCAATAAAACGAATTGTTATCAAATTGTATCAGTCATTTTGCTTTAATCCATCATACCCCAAAAACAAAAAAGTAGTGAATCTTTGGCTCCATCAGATATGATGGAAGCATACACCATATTATGTGCAGAGCCAAAAATGGATTTGTTTTCTAAAAACGTTTAGCATTTTTGACAAAGTGAGGAATTGAGCCTGCGGAAGCAGATTTGTGAGGATAGGCGGATAGCCTCTAAAAGTGGAGAGCCAGATCTTGGGCCATTTTCTGTCTCTCTATTGCTTTCCATGTTTTTAGACTCTAGAAGAGAACACAAACAAATGCATCTTTCTTGTCTTTTGATCATGAACATGATTTTTTTTGAAAGAGAGAGATATTGGATTTTTTTTTTGGAGAGAAAGAGAGAGATAATAAACAGCGGCTAATATGCACGCTTGTAGAGAACGGTCAGTGACGCCATGCTGTCAGACGGTTGTCTGCCGTGAAAAGAGATCGGTGATGTGCTCGGTCAAAAAATAGTCTAGGTTTTTAAGAACCTTAACTCCGATACCATGATACAATTTGATAATAGTTGGTCTTATTTAATAATGAACGATACATCCATATATATAGAGATTACAAAAGAGAGTTCTAATCATAGTAAGAGAAGAACTATAGTAACGATACAATAAAGAAACAATAAAATAATGAAGGTCTCCTGATACATTTATTATTCCTAATAGACTCTTTAAACCGTCTATGCTTCTTTCAATAGTGAAGTAGTAGTAATACAATGCAACTTACGGGTCATTCGGAAACAGCCAGCCCATGTTTTATACGTAGGGGTCAGGCTGCGTACATCTGACCCCCCTACCTCGCAATGGGCGGGAGCCTTTGAGGCACTGGGGTAATGTTGTCTTTGATGCACATAATATGGCGCATCACACTTTCGATGTATTTCAGGTTGACATCAATGTAGCATTTGCGAGAAGAATGTACACTACATGTCCACATAATATGATGCATCACGCTTTCTATTTATTTCAGGTTGGCATCAATGTAGCATTTGTGAGAAGAATCCACATTACATGTGTTATACATGCCCCTACTCCCTATGCAAGGGGTGCGTCAAAGGTGCTGTTTTTTTATGTATTAGAAGAAACAAAGGCTTTTGTGAGACCTGCATGAGAGTGGTCAGGCTAATTGAAAGCGAGCAGCAAGGAGGCGAAGATGTATGTGCCTCTATAATCCTTAAATCTCTCTCCAGGGTGTTCCTACTCAAGTGGTTCCGTATTGTTTATGGGGCATGGTCATGGTCCCTCCCCCTTGGTGGACTTCATGTCCAACTCGTTTTATGACATTCATGATTTGTTTAGATAGTGTGAGAGTTTAGAACATTATTCTTGAAGAAATTTGAAGGTAGACAGTTGGTGATGGACGTGTAAGGGAGTGTAGGTGTTCTGATTATTACACCTCAATTCTATTGATTTGCTTACATTGCAATTTGGGGTGTAGGGGAGGTGAGGCTGACAATTACTCATGTATTATTATTATTTTCCAAAAAAAGTTGTATGTTACACTCTTGTGCCATCCTCTATAATACCCACAACCTTTGCTACCCACAACCTACATTATTTTCTTATAGTAAGGTAGTCATACACCTTTCCTTCCACATTGTATCCCAAGCAATGATAGGACAACCACTTACACATCTCTTTCCTTCCCTCTTCCACTGCTTACACTTCCTTAAGGTTTAATATATATGACATTTCACTCAGCATGTGAACACCAATAACGTTTGAGATTGAATACAGGGCACTCGCGCCATATTTACTTCTTCATACTTCTTCCATCCTGCAATGAAGTTACTCTAATAAACCTTACACTTCTCACATTTCCTTTTTAGGAATAGGAATATGTGGCTCATACCATTTCACTCTCTTCTAGACTTCTAGTTAAATTTCTTCTTCAATTTTCACTGTTAAATACTACACTTAAACTATATGAAGTCAACACCTAAACTTCCCCATGGGATGGGTGGAGTATTAATTGGGATTAGTGCATGTTTAACACTTCTCTTATAAAAATCATCAAAGGGTTTAACATTTGCATAGTCATCAAACCAGATGAAATAACATTTGCCTCTTTTGTTGTAAATTTTCAGAATATCAACTTTGCACTATTTTTGGAAAGCTCTAGGACATGTACTCTTTGCCTAAAGCAGCATGATCTTATATTATTATGTTCTGGTTTGAAAGTTTCTAGGCTGATCTGATCTAATGTGATCATAATCCTTAAAAAAACATTCATTGCATTCATTCAACATTAAAGTGTAAGTTGGACAAATGTGCACTTAACACAAGTTTTTATCTCTTGATTGGAGATTTACAATCAGGAACAATATAGCCGAAACTTGATAAATGTGTATATATAGGATCAGACGCGCTCACACTACTTGAATAGAATCTGTTTCCATAATGACTTGTGGCCAATTGAAGTCTTAATGCAGCTTAAATACTCTCCTATTCCACTTGTTTCTGCCATGCTTGAAAGAAGCCCTTCATATGTTTTGATGCTATGAATCTCCCAACTTCATTTTTCCCAAGGAAAATGACCTTTTCATAATCTTCACCTTGTACAATAGAGGCATCACCATTAACCATACAATCTAATCTTTGCATGGCTTACTCTACTTAATCTCAACTCTGCTTCTGTCCAACGATATTCATATACTGTAAATGTGTGCCATCTGGTCACTATAATAACGAAAGGCTGATTGCCAATTTACTGGAGCTTGGAAATTACCATTCCAGACCATAGTATTTCTAGCTTGCCAGATCACCCATGGCAACATAATAGCCATTACACCCAGGCTGTGTGGCACAAGGGTTCTAACTTAGAAAATGCAATTCAGGTTCACCATCTCTATGACAAATGGAGCAAGAATTTACCATAGGTGCACATTTACTTTGGAGGTTAGCAAGAGAATCAAAAGCTTCAGTAGAAGTTCTCCAAAATTTGTCATTCCGAAGGAACTTTAAGATTCTATCATTGCTGTCAGGTTGCACAAGGTTGTGACTTACAATTGAATGTCAAATGTTGTCTATTCACTTTACAGCAAGGGTCTATACTCGATAGACACTTCTCAGTTTACACTCTATATTATCAAACAGCCAATACTATGGATCATGAACACTAGGATAATTTCCTAGTAGTGCATCAAGAAAACAAGGTTTAGAAACATAGCAGGCTTTTAGTAAACATGCCACTAGGGAATCCAGATTTTGATCAAACTTTATCGTTGGAGGTATATTTTCTTTTCTGCTGAATGTTTATGGTCTGGTTTATTCTTTGATCAAAATAATAATAATACTCCGTAGTAAATATCATCCCATTGGAGAAGGTGACATGTGGATATCATGTCTTTATTGATGAGACCTGCTTTAGACACATGTAGTTTCAACTTTAAGTGCATGTGCTAGTTTGCTTTCAGGCTTATTCACTAACTCCTTTGATTTTGTTAGTGTAGTACTCAGTACTCATTTTTTGATGTTCCAGATACATGTAGATTTTGATGACAAAAGTAGTTGGGAGTTTCTTTTCAAGGACTACTATATGGATTTGAAAGAGAAGCTCTCCTTATCTTCAGAAGAAATAGCGAATGCCAAAAGTGCATGGAAGGGATCTGATGTCTCTGGCAATAGACATGAGCAGTCTGCACCACATTTTGACAGTAATGAAGATGGAGGTTCTGGCTCTGACAATTCTGATGAGAAGGTTGAAGTCAATAGTTTAAAGAGAAGAAAGGTCACAAAAAGATCAAAGTCCCTTTCAAAAGAAGCTGCTATGAGTAATATACCCATAAATGCTGGAAATGAAGGCACATCTACACCTGACAGCACTACATGGGCATCAAAAGAGCTAATTGAATTTGTTAAGCACATGCGAAATGGTGACACTTCAGTTGTTCCTCAGTTTGAAGTGCAGACTTTGTTGCTCGAGTATATCCAAAGGAACAAACTTCGTACTCCAAATAAGAAGAGTCAAATCACATGTGATTCAAGACTTCAAAGTCTATTTGGAAAACCACGTGTTATGCATTTTGAAATGTTAAAATTATTGGAATCTCACTTTCATATAAAGGAGGATTCTCATACCGATGATGCCCATGGCACTGTTGTTGATACTGAGATAGAGGCTGATGAAAACCAGGACACACCTGTGAGGGAAGTCAAAGATAGGAAACACAAGCGTAAGAAGGGCAACATTCGAGGACCACAATCTAATCTTGATGATTATGCAGCTATTGACATGCACAACATCGGCTTGATCTATGGTCGGCGGAAGTTAATGGAGGACCTGCTTGAAGACGTGGAGAATTTTCAAGAAAAAATTGTTGGTACCTTTGTGAGAATAAGGATCTCAGGTAACAATCAAAAGCAAGATATGTACAGACTGGTTCAAGTCATAGGTAATTACAGAGAACTTTCAAATTCCATTTGCATTTTTATGTGCTATAGATGCTATACTTGATTTGTTGCTTAGAAGTAACACTTTTGGTCGTAGCTAAATACATTTTGTTGCAGGTCTGAGCAAAACGTCCGATCCATATAAAGTTGGCAAAAGAACTACAGATATCTTGCTTGAAATCTTGAATTTGAACAAGACAGAGGTCATCTCAATTGATACAATCTCAAACCAAGACTTCACTGAGGTAAGTTTCGATGATGCATATGCACGATCAGCTAAGACCTCCATTTCTCAGGAGTGAAGCTTGTTTTACATTGTTTTATAAGTTTGTAAGTTTCTTGTGTTTGTGCGTGGGAGTCTAGTTTGTCCTATTTTACCCATCAAAACTATATACAAAAAATAAAGAGAAGCTAGGATGTAGTTAGTTCCATTGAAACACCTTATTTACTAGGCCTCTTACCCATTTTGGTTTCTGGATCTAGCTCACAGAGTTCCTTCTAAATCTGGTTTGAGCTTGTGGCCATAATATTTCATGTCTTTCCACTCCGATTAAATGCCCAATATCAGTGCTTGAGCCTAATCATCACCTAATGCAAATAAGTTTTTCATTTTTTTTCATTTTTTTTCATTTTTTTTCATTTTCTTCTTCTCTTCATGTCCTATAAACAATCTTCAGAGCTTTATTTATCCTACAGAGTTGGGATTGTGGCAAGTGATATTATTAAACAATGTAGGTTAAGGCATCAATCATTTGTTTGGTGTCTTACATAGTTACATCTAACAGTTTTTCATATCCAGATGCTCCTAATCATAACATTTTGATCATCATACTCATCTAAGACTTGCTTCTACTTAAGTGTATCTGTAAATGCCCCCCACTCTCCCCCAAAAGGATTTTCTAGTTATATTGTTCACAAAGAATTGAATTGATTTTTGCAGGATGAATGCAAACGTTTACGACAAAGTATGAAATGTGGTCTTATTAATAGGCCCAAAGTGGTAAGAACTGTTGTTAGAATTCTTTTAATGATTTTCTTAACTCATTTTGTTGTCAATTTACTCACAAGTAACTTTTCAGGGTGTAATTCTTGACAAGGCCTTGGAATTGCATGAAGCAAGAGTCAATGATGTAAGTTTTTTTTCCTGGGACTAGTTTAAAATTTTTCTTTCTTGATGTGTATGGTACAGTTAAGATTCTCGTGCTTTGTTGGACTCATTGTAATGTTTTTGTATGCACAACTACACACATAGATTTCTCTGCACTCTTGTCAAAAGTAAAACTTCAATTGGTACTATCTCATATTCCCTTAAGCATGTATCTGTGGAATTCTGGGGCATTCTTGTTGAGTGAGTAGGATTTGCAGATCTGACACGTCTAAAATGATTATAGCCCTCCCCATCACCACCATCAAACCCAAAGAAACTCCTCTAATTGATTGTGTTCTTGTAGGCTCAAATGGAATTTACCTTGTTCTCCTAAGCCATACTGTTTTTTCTGTTTGCACTGCAGTGGTTGGAATCAGAGATCCTGCGTATAACTAATCTTCGTGATCGAGCAAGTGAGAAAGGGCGCCGGAAAGAATATCCTTTTTAATGAAATGCTTCCTTCATTACGATGCTCAGTTTTCATATGACTAAATATAACTAGTCTACCACTTTGTGCTTGATGATATTGTCTAGTGTCTACTTGCTTGCTTGCTATCCAGTTGTTCACAGGCCAGAACCCTTTTACTAAGCCCTTTATGCAAATAATGGCATTTGAACCTTCCCAGACCTTGCAATTAGATGGAGCTAGAAGTATTATGCCCTTGATACCTTGCACTTTAGGGTCCGTTTGGAATCAGGATGCCAGGGAATTGAGGGAAAGTATAGAGGTTTATATTGAAGGAATGAAGATTTGATGAAAAATTTAAAATTAATTTAAACTCAAGAAATAAATATGGGTCATGTTGAGCAAGTACTTCACTCAAACCAAAATTAACCAAATTATGCATTATAGTAGAATATACTGAAGATGAGATTTTTCATTTCTTCCTACATTGTTGTTCTTTTGAATGCCGAATCGATCCTGATTTTCAGTATCTTATGTGTCATTAATATTTTGCATTACATCACACCTTTTTGTTCATGAAAGTATGTACTCCTCTTTCGCACGATTTTGTTTCTTTTTTCTATTTCGTGTGTGCCAAAGTTATTGTCCCCTACCATATTTGGTATGATCATTGCGGCCCAAATCGGCTCATACGTAATCAATTCAATATCAACCACACAATTACACATTTTCTAAATTTTTGTGCCACACTTCAATGTCTTATAAATGAAGGGCTGAATGAGTAATAGTTTTTCCGGTTTATGAATATATCAAAACTATGTCACTTTGTCGTGGATTGATTAGGTTAGTGTAAATGCTGTTCAACTAATCATTATCTTGATTTTTGGAATTTTTGCTCATTGTACATAACCATGGCCTTTTTTTTAAAGTTGCAATTTTTCAATTAATATAATTGTGTTTTATAGTTTTATCCATCTCATGTTTCTAAAAAGGTTTATCCTGAATGTTTATTGGTGTGGGTCATTATTTCAATGAAATGGGCAGAATCCTAGAACGAGGAAAGTAATAGACATAGAGGGCATTTGAAAAAGCTTGTTTTTGGAAACCCAGGATAGTCTCAACACCAAAGGGTTTTTTTTTTTTTGTTTTTTGTTTTTTTTGGGGGGTAGGATGGGGGATCTAGATGTAAACAACCTTATCCCTCAAAAAAATATATAGGGAAGCGAAGTTTAATTTGTCATTTTGATTTACCATTATATATCTTAGGCTATATCATTGTAAAGTTGACTCTTTTTGTACATTATGGACTAAATAAGCATTTTAACTTCATGGGATCCTTTTGGCAACAAAAAAAGCTTTGTTTTTCGAGTAGATGTTTAGAGGCATTTAGAGCAACTGTCTTTGCACAATGTTTTATAAAAAACTTCTTTTCCAAGCTTTTTGTTACAGCTACCCAAAATGCTGGTACAAACAGCTAAGAACTTATAGCAGGTTGCCAAATAAGGCCATAGACAGTTATCTGAAAAACACAAACTGGCTATCCTTGCTGGACTATTTGATGGCTTCCATATTCAGCTAATAACTAGAAATGGGTAAACTTTGGTTTGATTTGTGGTGCCTACACTACTTAGAAGTGATTTATCATACACAACTTTAGCTGGCCACATAACAAGTACTCCGGTACTTTGCACGAGTAGCCAGCCAGAAGAAAAAAGTCATATCCCCTCTTGGGTGGGGTCGGGGTCCATAGTAAGGTTCAGTTCCTTAAACCACTTATGTCCAATTAGTCCTTAACGATTGCTTACACTCAGAGAATGTGTTGAAAAACTTGCACTTCTGAAAACACCCGAGGAACGTCAAAGAAGGCTTGAAGAAATTCCAGAAATACACGATGATCCAAAAATGGATCCAAGTTATGAATCTGAAGATGATGACATTGTTACAGATGAAAACAGGCGAGGTTGTGCTTCTTTGCACTTCATATGAAAACTAGCTCAGTGTCTCAGTCCTAATAGAGTATTAATTGCTTCCTTGCTTTGCTCGTGCAGATAGTTATATCAGGTCAAGAGATTCAAGCTTTAGCAGGAGAGGGAGAGATCCAATTTCTCCGCGAGGCAACTATTCTCCCAAAAACCCGTACCCACGAAGCAACTCCTCTCCTAAAGATCCGTATGGTGGTGGAGCTAATCAAATGCAAGCCAAGAATTGGGAACCAGATAGAAATTTTTCTAGCAGGAATACATCGGTCATGATTGGAGATGGTACACATAAAAATGAAACATTTGATGAAAATCCACGAGGTCTAGGAAGAGGAGATAGAGACCTTGAGTATAGAAGTGTGGAGAAGGTTAACTTAACCACTACTATTTCAAGACATGAAATGGCTTCTGGGGTAGTACCTGTGACTTCTCCCGTTACTCCTACACCAAAAGTCGCAGATAACGATGGCGGGCCCAAAATTAATGAAACTGAAAAAATATGGCATTACCAGGACCCTTCTGGCAAAAACCAAGGACCATTTTCGATGGTCCAGCTACGGAAATGGAACAACACGGGATACTTTCCCGCCAATCTAAGAATTTGGAGATCCACAGAAACGCAAGACGACTCTATTCTTCTGACTGATGCATTGGCCGGTAGGCTACAGAAGGAGATTGAGAATAGATCTTTGTCTTGCAGTGTACTGCAAAAGCAAGGAGACAGATTTAGTCTTGATCAGAACCATGCATCTCCAAATGCACCTACTGGTTCGGTTCTGCCTGGAGCTAGTAATGAAAAGTGGGGCGGTAATGACACAATGAACCTTCCCTCTCCCACTCCTACTCAAGGTAATGCAACTCCTGCTCCCACTCCATTTGCTGGTGAGACCGGAATTGTCTCTGAACCATCTCGTTTAGTGTTGCCAGCTGGCATTTCTTCTCTCTTATCTTCTTCATCTGTGAGTACAGGGGGACAACCATTAATGAACTCTGAAAATGTTTCTGCAAATTCCAGTACTGTTTTTAGCCCTATGATGAATACCACTGCAGTTAGTGAACCCCAACCCACAATGATGGTCCACAACCAACATGCCACACAAGACCCAAATGTACATCCGGTTCAGAACCCAAACATGGATGTTAATGTCTTGGGTGCTGTTCCTACTACACCAGGGCAGCCTCAGGTGGGGTATGCCAACTGGGGCGGTAGCATTACATCAGCTGTTCAGAATCTTGCGGCAAGTTTCTCAAATACTGGTGGGGGCTTAGCTTTGCCTCAACCAGAATATTGGATGGGTCAGACTCAGGGTAACCAGCCAAGCATGCAACCCCAAACCATGCAACCACAAACCTTGCCTAATTTTCAACAATGGATGCCGCAGAACGGTCCTGCCCCAGTTTGGGGACCAATGCAGGGTAATCCCAACATGGGGTGGGTTGGGCCCACACCACCCATGAATATGAATTGGGCAGCTCCTGTTCAGACAATGGCCCCCCCACCCAAAATGGGTTGGGTTATGCCCCCCACTGGACCAATGCCTGGAAACATGAACCCTGGCTGGATCCCACTACCAGCACCACCACAACCACAACCAGGTAATCCGGGTGTTCAAACTATGGCTCCTCCAAATGCAAATCCAGGTTGGTCTGGGCCAAGTGCTCCTCCACGCCCGAGAAGCAGTGGTCCCAATAGACAGCCACCATCAGGTGGTGGTCCTAGAGGCAGCAGTTTTAAACGTCAGACGCCTTGCCCCTACAATACAGGTGGCCGGTGTAGGAAGGGGGCTCGGTGTGATTACCTTCATGTCTAGTCAGATAGTTACCATAGTGTTTCTCTCCCCCATCTCGGCTAATACATGTTGAATCCTGTACAGTTATAATTTTGTTTTTCCTGTTCTTACTAAATACGGAGTACTACCATAGGCCATTTTGGGTCAGGGGCACAACTGTACTTTCAACTTTATTTGTTTAATGCTTTAACATATGTTGCTAGCATTTTTGTAGAATAGACTTTTATATACTGCTTAATCGCAGTCATGAGGATTTATTCAAAAAATGGTGTACCACAAATAGCCTTGAATAATATTTTTTCATAACAAAAGTTTCATTTGCCAGTTTTTTCGTGTGTATTGATTGACCAAATAAATGTATTTTCAAATTTGTATATGGACTAGGACGTTAAACATTGTTATAATATTCTTTTTTTACTTTTTGAAGTGAATTTTGCATTTTTACACGTAAAATGTCCTCTATTTAGGTTCCGTTTGGCATCAACATTAGAGGATAGCGCTTTGAAAAGGTTTTTTGGCGGTAGCTTTTAGCATTAACGTTTTCAAAATTAATCTTGTTAAAATTTTATCCAAAATGTGAATGCTAATCAAAAATGCCTTTCTCAAACTAGAATTGAAACCTTAATACTCAAACATAGTTTCTTTCTTCACATACTATGTACGGAGTAATATTTATGGATTTATATTCTGTATTCAGATAATCTTTTTCTTCCGACCAGATCTCAAATATTCATAATTTTGTTTTTAGCAAAAGTTTATGGTTCATAATACGAAGTACTTTTCTCCTTCATATTGGTAACAAATTTTGGTTATGAAATTTTAACTTTTTTAAGATTTGTAAATTCAATAAGATGAAAAAGAATTAAGTTATTTGTAATCCAAATTGTATATTGTAGGTGTGCTCTTTCTTTGTGTGCTAGTGCGATGTTAGGATGATGGTTCACACAAATATAAAATGTTAATGCAAATTTTTTTATTGCGCCAGCGTTTTGTGTCAATGTCAATCATCAAAATGTTATTGTATATATTTGGTGTAATTTTAAGGTACACTCATTAGTGGAATTGTAGCACCGTCGTATAAAAAATGTTGATCTAAAATCAAATGAAAAAATTTGTTTTTGGTCATTTATTCACATTTTCAGTTCATGAATCACCTTTTTTTTTTTCTTTTTTTTGGATTGGTTTGGGGTTTTTCTTCTCACCCCATTTGCCCGGAACTTTATTATTCAGCCATTCCCTCCTCGTGGTCGAAAAAAAGAAGAAGAGCTTTTTCCCCAAGACAGCGCCCATCGTCTTCCTTCTTCGGCAATCAATGAACTGAGGAATGGGAACCTCTGAATTGCGCCCTTTCCGGAATCTATCTTCTCCTTGACGTTTGAGTAAAGTCTGTAAGAGATCGTTTCGTCCGATTATTCGAATTTCACTGTTCATCGGCTTCGCGGCGAATCTCAGATGTAATGCGCCGCTTTGCGTGACGTGCTCGAGATTGTCAATTTTTTCCTTATAAATTGAAAAAATGGCGGTTCGTAAGCTCGTTCTTCAATTGCGCCCTAGAGGACTCAATCCGTCTCCAGTTGGTTCCTCCTCGCATACGAATAAGTTCCAATCGAAAGGCGTTTGTGACGCCGATTTGTTCATTCCGCCGCCTTCTATGCATTCATCGAACAGATGCGATTTCAGGTCGTTCTCGGAGCTAGTTAAACCTAGTGGAAATCGTGCCTTTCTAGTGGATACGCTTGCTCTGGTAATTATTATTGTTATCATTATCCCTGCTGCTGTTTGTTCGTTTGTTTAAGTTTAGAAGGAGGCAGGAGTAAACAAATGATCCTCTTACAATTTTGTTCAGAACTATTTCTATGGAATTGAATTGTAGAATAGGACAAACAGAAAGATAAAACACTGAAAATGAAGTTATTCAAAGTAATTAATTTGGGGTTTTGTTTGACTCCTTATTTGTTTTCTATTTTACTACTTGCATTAGCTTCTTGTGTTGTTATTCATAGGAATTTGGTGTGCTGACAGGTGAGGGGATTAGAAGCACATGGGGTGCCTTCAAAGCAGGCAGAGGCAATAACATTTGCAATTACGAAAGTTCTGAATGATAGTTTGGAAAATAATGCACGTTCTTTGGTTTCGAAGGCGGATATGCAGAAGGTAATTTTGTCATATTTTTTTTACTTTTTTTGGCTAATGTGTCTTGTAGAAGTTGTTAGTGGTAGAGTAAGCATTTTTATGGTGCAAAACACTCATGTGCTTAAAGTGATTAAACGAAGATGCCACCTTCTCTAAAGATCTTCTCTGTTATGTTTCTTTCTTTCTAGTCTGAGATGCTCCAAGAAGCCAACATATCCAAGTTTAAATCATCAGTGCAGAGCTCTCAGGTAAAGAATTACTTTGTTTTCCCTTACACTAGCACTCCTCTTATATTATAGTGATACACACTTGACCCTATTTTATTCAGAGTTCATAAATGCTAAAACTTTTAGAGCTGCATAACATGTACTCCCTCCGTTTCTTAAAATCCTTCCTCTTTCATTTTTTTGTTTTTCTTAAAACACTTCCCCTTTCTATTAAAAAACCACTTTTACCCCTACTTTTTCATACCCTACCTATCGCATCATACTTTTTCACTAACAACTAAACTATCACATCTTACTTTTACCCATCACATCAAGGGCAAAATTGGAAAGTCAACTACAATTTAACACTTCCTTATTTTCCCCCAAAGTCAAAAGAGGAACTCTTTTGAGAAACGGAGGTAGTAGATAATAAGTGACGTTTTGTTAGTTTTATAAATTTGCAAAGTGTAGGCTTTCTATTTCTATGTACAATAGGATCCTTTCTCCCTAATCTGCCCTTCATTGGCCACTTCATTTATTTACCTTGTAAATTGTAATTGTAGTAGTATGTTTTTTCACTAGGAGTAATTAGCAAAAGAATATTCATTAACGGCGTTTTATGTATTGTACTTTATTTCTTAACATGTGTAAAGCTTCTTAAATGATAAATCAACACCTTTTTTTGAAGTGGAGGGAGTGTGAATCTTTGTTCATCCATCAGAGAGTTTCTTGCATCTTCCATTAGTATAATGTGAATGTGTCGAGATAGGCTTCTTATTGACTCCAACCAAACCATGTGCTTGCTTCCAATGAATGCTTGGAGTCTGCTTTTTTTTTTTCCGTTTGTTACCTTTTGTGAAATTTTCTGGAAGCTATTCACGTTTAGAAATTTAGAATTACTTCAAAATCTATGTGCCATGAAAATAAATTATCTGTTTTGCAACAGGTTAGTTTTTACCCCTATGCTTAGTACTCCTTCGTTATTACTACAAGACATATGTGCATAGTTTCCTCTAAATTATCTGTGTCAATGACTCTCTTTATTCTGGTGGTAGGAACACCATTTTTCTCTGTTGCAACGTGAGACTGAAAAGCTCCTAAATGACATTGAGAAAATGCGAAGTGAACTGAGGTCTGCCACATTGTCCTTTGCATCCATTTTGATGTGCTAGTTCATATTTTATTCACACTTTGCTTTCAAGTAACATTTGATACTCATACCCTTAACAGGTATGAGGTTGATAAGCTCACTGCTGGCCAGCGTTTGGATTTAAATCTTGAAAGGGGGTAAGGGAAAATAAATAACAACAATACTTAGATATTGGTGTCTATCATCCTTGAAATAATGGTATTCTGCTTCATAAGCGGCAAACTGATTGCAGGCGCATACGTGATGAGCTTGCAAAGCACAATGCGGAAACTACTAACCTTACCAGCAAGCTTGACAGAGTACGTTCTACTTCCTTTGTCAAGTGATAATCCATTGCCTCATTTTTACACGCCTTAGCTACTATTCATGC